ATCGGCATCAGCAGCATAGTGGGCGGTGTTCACAATCTACAAGCCGAATTGCTGAGACAACTTATACACTTAACCTTGTCACTCGCTGTTATGTTACGCTTCCCTACCTACGTCTAAATTTCCTAATTTCCTCCTTTCAGACATACGCCACAATGATGAGGACGATGGTGTCCCAGGGCCGTACGGGCTACCAGCACCGTCCATGAACTCCACACTGCTGTGTTCGGGTAGCCAGGAATTCTGAAAAAGCGGCCAAAGAAGCCAATTTTTTTTATTTCTTGTACCATAATATTTTTAAACACGCTTTTTATATTCAAATACATTTTACCGAACAAACAGTCTTCAAAAAAGAAATATTTCACGGCGTTTCGAAAAATGGGGGTTTTCGCAGGAAAGGATGTAACCCCTGTCCGGATGAAAAATTAAATTCGATTTTTCGAGCCACAAGCGCGATAACGCGAGCTGGCTTGGAGCCCGTTTTGCTATTAGGGAATGACTAACTAATGTTCGTCTCTCCTCCTCCCTCTCCCCATTAAAGAGAGCCGCCGAACTCCGCTTAATGACCTCCTACCAATAAGCACCCCATATCTAGGAGTTTGGACCCTGACTAAAGGTAAGAATCCACACCGTTTGACAGATTAAATCATTTATGTGCCCTAAAAACGGACTTCTGCCAGACTGCGCATTTTTTATGTCTGTCGGCAAACTTTCGGTGATTGTGCGGTGAAGTTAAAAGGGACGGCATTCAGGCTGGATTGGCTTCATCATCATCCCGTAGACCAATCGGTCGCATTTTGTTTTACCGGATCACCTATATGATGAATAAGCAGAGTGTCAATATATTTTATCGTGAAGATAATATAAAAACTGGCGCTATTAAGTGTAAGTCATGCAGAAACATACTTTTTGCAAACTATACTTTCCGTTCATGTGTTAGTTAGAAACGGAACAGACAAAAGAATTATAATTATTTCAAAAATAGTCATACCTGGCCACCTTTCTTGCATTTTCAAGCTTATATCGGATCCTGGAACTGTGTATGTGTGTCGTAGCCCATTGTTGAATCAGGAATCCCCGCCGGAATCTAAAATGGGAGTAATTGGGAGACGGAGAAAAGCCGAGACCTCGACCGGCTTGAGCCAAAGATCCCCGGGAGTGAGGTGGGTGTGTAGTGGCAATTGTCTGTCCGATGTCTGACCTTCCTGTCGTGACCTAAATCTGTCTGGACCTCAAGGCGTTGCGGTCGCCAAACTACTGGCGCGCGTGATATAGGCAACCCACGTCAATTTCTACATACACGCTGTCCAACCAATCACAGACCGACCTAGCCAGTGAACGCTCTCTCTGTCTACTGGCCTGACTGCTCTCAAACTGGCACTTGGATCGCGGCTGGTCGTGTTCTCCCAAGTCAGACTTTTTCATCTATTCTCCGTTTTTGTGTACACAATAAACTCTTCCTCCTACTTTGGTCTTTACCGACTTCGCCTCCACTAAGTAACCATGGTCTGAAGATCGCAGTTGCTGGGTTTAAATCACT